GATTTGAATTCGGTTGATAATACTGGAGGCCAAATATTTTATTAATTTAATATATATTTTAATCGATAAAAATTATAATATTTTATTTATAAATTAAAGAATATATATATAAAAGACAAAATTTTTTATTAGCTTAGCTTAATTTAAAATTAATAAACAAAAATATTAATATTAATAAAATTTATAAAAAAAAGATTTACAAATTGTATTATCACTATTTCTTTACATATACGTACTTTTTTTTTTATTAAATACAATTTAATGAATAACACATAGAATAATGTAAATATTTATTTTTATCTTATTTCAATGTCAAATATACTTCATGGATAAAATTTTTGTTGTATAATATTTACGAATATTATATAGAAGTTCAAAAATTTGTTTAAATAAAGTATCCAATCAGAATATACATCTTTTTACTGCCATTTATTCAACGATATTATAGAGTTTAATAAATTCTATACAGATTAATGGAATAATTCTATCTAAAAACTAATGATATTATGATATAGTAGTTATTTTGTAAATATTAAAATTTTGTATGAATTTTTTTATTTTTTCATTTAAAAATCTCATTTTGATTACTTAGAAAATCAATTTCAAGAATTATTATTATAAATATAATAATCATTAATTGAATTTTTTAAACAAATCTCTAAGCAAAAAATAATTTGAGTTTAATGCGCACTAATAATTTTATCATTTAATTCAATTGGATAAAAATCTAAAATGGCATCATGTAATTCACAAAAATCCCTAAAATTTTCAATTTGCATATAAATGATTATTGAATCACTAAATTCTGACAATTAAAAATAATCATTTTTGGATTTTACATATCAATATTTAAAATATATAGGAAAAATCTTAAAAATTTTAATATCTTTTTAAAATTAATCAGAATATTAAATATAATAAAGTATAATAAATAAAAATATTTCATTGATATGATTTATCATTGATATGAATAGAAAATATTAGTTACTAAGACGTTCTAAAATTTTATCTGCTATGGTTATGCAGTATTAGCGCTATATAGGTAACTAATCGTGCCGCGAAGAATAGAAGAAGAGAATTAGATAAGTGCGGAGGTTACTCCGATTTTGACAGATTTTGAACATGCTAATTCAAGTATTAAGTTGACAACAATTTGACAATTAATTTGTTAATTTCTAAACTCATATTCTAATGTACTTTGAATATATTTACAGATTATAATTTTTATTGTCATTGTATACATTATATTTTTTCTTATCTTATATTTCATTTCTTATCAATTTATATTCTTATAATACGCAACGTAGAAATTATTCTATAGCAATATGAAGTTACACCCAGATGTATATGATAAATTATATTTGTGAGTATATTTAATGCATGTTTTTTTTTAAATTAAATATTAATATGTTGAATAACATATTAAATATATTAAATATATTAAATATTGATATTTTAATTATATTTCAAATAAATTGCTTCTTTAGATATATTACACCTGAAAAATTTTATGTAGAACCTATTGGAACTAAAGTGCTACTTGTAGTTGATAGAGTGAATCAGCAAATTTATACACAAGGTAATTAACAATATAATTTCTATTTGATATCTTTGACATAACATAAATTTTTTAAATATTTCATTCACATTTTAGCTGGTACAGCTAGTCAAATTCCTTCAACTGCAAGCCGTAGAAAAATATGGGGTATTGTAGGAACTATAAGGCTGTTAGCATGCAGATATCTTATAGTGATAACAGATGCTATAGATGTTGGAACTATAGCTGGTCATCAAATTTTTAAATTAGTTTCAACAGAAGTTATACCATATACTAAATCTTCATTACATCTTAGTGAAAAACAAGTGCAAAATAATTCAATATATGTAGAAATGATCAAATCTATATTAAATACACCTTATTTTTATTTTAGTTACACATATGATCTTAGCCATACAATGCAAAAACTTCATAACACCAATCCTGAATTTTTACAGGTCATTATTTGCTAGATATTTATTTATATTTGATAAATATATTTGTTTATACTTGGAGTTTATTTTTCCATTTTTTCTATTAAATAGATGCCACTTCATGACAGAGCAGATTCTAGATTTGTTTGGAATGCTTATCTTTTACAAGATTTAACATCAAGACCTGAACAGTATAAATTTTGTCTACCTATCATTCATGGATGTATCCTTGTAAACAAGAAGAAAAAAAATATATCTTTATTCAGTTTATATCTTTATAAAATTTATATTTTCCTTAATATTTATTAATAATATTTATTATTTAGTTGTTTCATTAAATATTATTACTGTAACTGGTAGCACATCATTTAATTTGGGTATAGTATCTAGACGTAGTGTGCATCGTGCAGGAACAAGATTGTTTTCACGTGGTATAGATTCTACTGGTAATGTTTCTAATTATGTAGAAACAGAACAATTAGTTGAATTCAATGGACATCGTATGTCTTTTGTACAAACAAGAGGTTCTATTCCTTTATTCTGGTATCAGGCACCAAATCTAAAATATAAACCTAAACCTCAATTGGGTACTCATGAAGATCATCAAACTGCCTGTGCACGACATTTTGAAACTCAAATATTTCACTATGGAAAGCAAATTTTAATCAATTTAGTAAGTCTATAAAAGGAATTAAAACGATTTTTTTTTTATAAATATTAGTAGACTTTTATAAATATTAGTTTATTTTTAATATTGTAATTTTAATACAGATTGATCATATGGGTTCAGAAGGTATGCTTGAAAAAGCATATCACAATGTAGTACAACAAATTAACAATGAGAATGTTCGATACGAAAGTTTTGATTTTCATGCTGAATGTAGAAGATTAAGATGGGATCGATTGAACATGCTACTTGATCGATTAACTCATGAATTAGAACAAATGGGTTATTTTTTATTATTAGAAGATGGAACATTATTATCGGCGCAAGATGGTGTTTTTCGTACCAACTGTATCGATTGTTTAGATAGAACTAATGTTGTTCAAAGTATGATTGCAAAGAGAGTTTTAAATGATGTGTTATCAAGGTTACAAATTCTTAGAAAGATCGAAGATCATCCTAGTGTTGAGGAACATTTTAAACGGGTAGAAATATAATTTTATTTATGTTCCTTTTTTATATTTTAAATTCCTATTTTAAATTTTTTAAACTTTAATATTAATTCTAGATTTGGGCTGACAATGCAGATATAATAAGTATTCAGTATTCTGGTACTGGTGCATTAAAAACAGATTTTACTCGAACTGGAAAGCGTACTAAATTGGGTGCAATGAGAGATGGTTTAAATTCTTTAACAAGATATTATAAAAATAATTTCACTGATGGTTATAGACAAGTATATATTTTTTTTATAAGAGATTTCTCATTCTTATATTTATATGTAATAAAATTACTATATTTATTCAATAGGATTCACTGGACTTGTTTTTGGGTCGCTATATTGTACAAGATGGCGAATGCACGCTAATTCAATGTCCTTTGGAATCGGAAAGAAATTGGCGTTATGCTACATTCCCTTTAGTACTTCTTGTTGCATCATCCATGCTAGTTGCTCATATAATCTTACCTTCGAGATATACTACTGAAATTTTATTGTATATACTATTTTGGGGTGCTATGGTAGCTGGTACATTTGCAACTATAATTCATCATGGCAAGCAATATGTAGATAAACCTAAATTGCTTTAAAAAATTTTCAAATTCAGATAGAATATATTGTATAACATTTCTAAATTGTGAAATGTTAAGAATTATTTATTATTTTTCATCATTTAATAATAATTTTTAAATATATTTTTCTGTTAAGATTTATTTGAAAGAACAATTAGATAGTGTAATATTTAAATTTATAAAATCTACCTTTATATTCATATTATTATATATGTATGTTATAAAAATTTTAAATCTAATATGTATCATTGATGAATTAGATACAGTAAATGAACAAATGTGTTCTTATCGATGAATGTATATAGATTGACAATGTAATTAATATTTTTAATCAAGATATTGTTAATATCAATGCATTTTTAAATAGAATAAGATATAGCTTTTAAAGAAACATACTTGTTCCTTTTTCAGTTAATTTGACACATTTTAAAAAATATTGTAAAATATTGTAAAAAATTTTCAATTTTGAGCAACATTTGCTCGTATATAAAATCAATTTATATTCTATAGCGTTTGATATTTACCGTCCACATACGTATAAATTACCTGTAATTATTCGATCATTATAACTATTTGATTATTTCTTTTAAATTCTAACATTACAGATATTTTCAATCTATTTAGAATCGTCGTATTTAGAATCTATAACATATATTTGCAATTTAAACAAAATTGGAAAAATTAATAATATATTAATACTGATTTTTTTAAATGAAAAAAACAAGTTTTAAAAAATAATATTAATGATTGTTTTATAATTTATAAGCGTTCGAAGATCTAGTAAAAAATTGAATTGCATTT